ATGTCTGGAAATATTGCTCAGTGTATAAAGCTCTTGCCACACAATGTTTAGGATTCCCTGAATCATTTAATTGCCTGGTGGATATGACAGATCACCTGTGTTGCTGGCCTGTGGGTAGCAGAGGCAGGAGATCCTTGGAGAAAGATGCCTAGCTAGAACAGCAGAATCAGCCAGATCTGGGTTCAATTGAGAGATCCTAACTCAGTAAATAAAGTTGTGAGAAAAGAAAGAAAATATCAGAGGTGAACCTCTGTCCTTTATATGCATGCACATTTACATACTCATGACCTCAAGCACACACAGCAAAAACCCCTACATATACCACATACATATAAACATATACCGTACGTATACCACATACATATATATATACACACAAACATAATATAGTACTGTGTAAAGATGCTGCAGCCCATAACTTTCTGTCTATACAAAACACTTGCCTTTCAGTATGCTGCCACTGGTCACCCTGGAGTTGTCTTAATTCATGTAAGTACATTCTACAGTACTTATTCCATGCCACAAGGAGACATTCCTGTCAGAGTTCCTGTTGTGAGACAACATATGACTTCCAGACCAAATATAAGACACAGTGAGTGGAGCAGGCATCTGTAAGTGTTAAACTACCTTGAACCTTACCCTAGAAGGCATGAGGTCCTAGGTTTAATTCTCAGTAGCATAATAAAACATTCAAAACCTGTTTCTGGTCTCACACTTAGCCACTGTTCAAATGTAAGAATTCTGTTTCTTCTAGGTCTTATTCCCTCTACATAACACAAGTGACCATAGCAGTAAAACCACACATTTACTCTGCGAATTATATGCACAACACATGAATGTGAGTGTGTGGGTGTCTGTGCCTATGTGATTGCATGTGGCAGTCACAGAAAGTCATGAGTGTCTTTCTGTATCACTCTGTGCCTCATTGCTTCGACACAGGGCCTCTAACTGAACCAGAAGCTTGGTGTTAGGCAAATCTGGCTGTATAAGCGGATGTAGATCAACTTGTCTCTGCCCCTCAGTGCTGGGGTTACGGGCAAGGTCAGGCATGCTTGGCTTTTTACATGGTGCTAGAAATGTGAACTCAAGTCTTTGCAAGTGATCTTTCCTACTGAACACCAAATCTACATTGTGTTTCACTTAGTAGCACGCTATCCATTGGGAAACTTCCTTTTACCCTTACATTCAGATGCACCTCTTCAGTTTAGTTACCTCAACTAAATGGTATGCTACCATTTCTTCATCCCAAAATGATAGGGTATAGTTTTATGTTAGCTTTTATTTATTTTTACATTTTAAAATCCTAATCCTTTCTAATAATGTTCAGGTACTTTGGTACACAGACATAAATATGTCTGAACCATTTTTTCAAGAAGTAGACTTGAAAAAAGAAAAACAAACCATCGTGTTTTGAAAATGCAGCCATGCTGATAGCACTTCACTAACGTATTAAAGGAGCAGAAGCAAATGAAATAGCAAAAGACTCCAGGGCTTCTGGCTGTATCAAGGGAATTTGTCCTGAGCTTTCACAAGTTAGATGACAGGTATTTCCCCAGTGGCTGTTGTATTGAAGGGCAAGTCTGCTAGTAGCCTAAGAAAATAGATTATGCCTTTGGTATGGTATTTTGTCTCTACTTGTACCTCTTTGCTTCCTGGATGCCCTGATAAGAGTGCTCTGCCACACTCTCTCACCATGATGGACAGAAACCTTGATGGACAGAAATACAAATATATTTTCCTCCTTTAGGTATTTATCTGAAGTATTTTGTCATAGTGACAAAAAGATAACACATGTGGCCTGGTTTAAGATTGTGCAGCACCAGTGGGAAAGGCAGAGATACCCCTTGTTATTAGGTTGTTATTAGGTTATTAGGTTGAAAACAGGATTCAGGATCAAAATCAGAGAGAAAAGAAAGAACAAAAAAGAAAATGAAAGGAAAAGTAGGGACTGAAAGAGATGGTTCAGCAGTTAAGACTTCATAGGCTCTTCCTAGAACCTCTTTGGAGACCACACAAATTTCTATAATTATGGTGCCAAGGACCCAACACCCTATTATGGCTTCCTTCACTGTCAACTACACTCATTTTACATACTCATACATGGATACACATATACACAATTAAAGATAAAATTAAATCATTACATAAGTGGGAAATGGATACAGAAATTTTGGTACATCTACACAATGAAATATTACTCAGCAATTAAAAACAAAACAAAACAAGGAAATCATGAAATTTGCAGGTAAATGGTGGGATCTGGAAAAGATCATCCTGAGTGAGGTATCCCAGAAGCAGAAAGACACACAGGGTATATACTCATGCATAAGTGGATATTAGACATGTAACATAGGATCAACATACTAAAATTTGTACACCCAAGCTAATCAGGAGGAGGACTCTGACACATATTTTGAGGAAGAGTCTGTCCAGTTGAAACAGGAGCATGCCAGTATAGAATAGAATAACTATTTTAGCCAAAACCAGCAAGCACTTTTTGCCCCCATATTCCTAGCCCTGGGGTCGCAGGCAAGTGCTGTCATGCCCAGGTTTTTTATATTAAGTCCTGGAGACGTAAGCTCATGCCTTCATGCTCATGTGACAAACACAGTACTTACTGAATCACTCACATATCTTAGAACTAAGAATCCAGAAAAGTAGAGAAATGAGAGGGCTAGAACTTTTGAGATTATGGGTCTGCAGGTATCATAAAGGTTTGTTGTTGTTGCAGGACCACAGGTGTTGTTCACATTAATGACAATCCCAGTGGGCAAATGACTTAATTAAACCACTACTCACAGCCCTATACATTGTGTGGTGGCTTCCTTTCTTACAAACTTATAACATCATGACACTAGGAAAAAAAGGAACTCATATTGCTGGTAGCCCAGTGACTGCCTGGAGGCTACTTGTCTCTACCCAACCCCCAGAGCTAAGGTTATAGACACACATGTCCATGTTTTACCTTTTTAACTCAGGTTCTCAAGCTTGCACAGTTAGTGATAGATCCATTTCCCTGACCCCAGAAAAAAAATCAATTGTGAGAAAACATTTTGAGTTATCCCAGTTTTCTTTTTACTGTTAATGATTTCCTTTCACTTCCATATCTAATGTTTTCTTTGAAAACTTTCTGTCATCTCCTTAAACTCTTCTGCACTGATTTTACACAGAGACAAGACATTTGGCAGTGTGTCTGCCATGCTCTATAAGTTATATTCCGACTGTGTCTGTGTCCCACTGTGTCTTAGCTTGTCTGGGCTCTTGGATAGTCATGAAAGTTGATATATTTATAATGAAAAACTGTTCACTGAGCAGACACATCTGTTCAGAACATTTACAACTGTGGTGGAGGGGCTGTTGTGCATGATATGTGTGGGTTCACCTTTTTCAGGTGAGTGAACATGTGGATGTCAGAGGTTGACACAGGACATCTTCCTTCATTGATTTTCACTTTGTATCCAGAGTCAGACTTCCCCACTTGACACTGAAAAGAGTGGATTTTGTTTTCTAGTTAGTCATTTTGCTCTGGGGATTTCTCTATCTCCTGGGTACAAGGATCACAAGTGGGCTGTCTTGCTTACCTGAAATATTGCACGGGTGCCAGGGATTTGATACCTATTAATCATACTCGTGCAGCCAGTGTGTTACCCATTGAGCCATCTCGCCAAACTCATATCATGACGATTTGAATTCACAGCCTCACACCTGAGATTGCACACACTGTGTTTGTTCACCTTCACAGCTCTTGTGACTTTCTCTTTCTGTGTTTCATTTTTCTAAAATAATCAGTTTGTGCCAAGCACATGGAAGAAAAGAAACAAAACAACAGTTAAATGAACTGATTAAAGAATCTAGGAAATCATACTCGCACAACTGCCTTTTTTAAGGAACCTAGGATACTTTCATAGAAAAAAGTTAAGATTCTGCTAGTTCAACATAACATACTTTCAAATCCAGTCAATATGAGCAACATATGTGCTTTCCTGGTGAATTCTTGGTTTATCTCAGACTGTAGCACACATTCCAGAAGTCCTCAGAATGTCTGGGAGTGAACACAGGCCTTGGGAACAACAGAAACTAAATGGACAGATACCCTCCAGTTTCCTGTGCTGCATGCTGCAGGTCGCCAGATCTTTTTTCTTGTCTTTTTTTTATTAGATGTTGGGATTTCATCTCTTTCATATTCTTAATAAGCATTAAATCATGACCATAACAGATTTTGGGATCTTGAATTCCATATTGTAAGCCACCAAAATCAGGCTCCTTGCAGTTTTCTGGCTATCATAACTAAAAGACAGAAAGGCATTGTTAACCTTTCTTTGCTATTCTTTCTGTTGTCAAAGCAATAAATGCTTTCTTGTGGCAGTTGATGGCTATGATGCTAAAGATGCTTGCTGTCAAGACTAACAACCCGAGTTCAAGTCCAGAGACCATCTCACCTCCACACATCCCATGTGGCAGGTGTTCCCTTCCACCACGTTTATACACACTAAATAATATTTATTATTTAGTGTGTATAAATGAAAAAAAAATTAAAAATAAACAGTTTGTTGGCAGCTAACAACAGGCATGTGATAACTGGGCCTCACTGAATTCGCATAGGGACAGATAGGGTGAGAGGGAATGAACTAGGAATCTTTAAAAAGCTGCGAGATTTTACAATGTAACGTTGTAATCCTCTGCATCTTGTGCCACAATAAACACACCATTCTATAGAATATTCTTACTCCCATTCAACTCTCTGTGCAATAGCATTTACGCTTTAACTCAAAGGTAGAATTCAGCTGTGCAATCTTCATTACCTAGCAGTTCAAGCACATCTGTGTGGTTTTCATATCATTTAACTCTCACATTTATATGACTTTAGAAGATTTGTTTCCCATTGCTGCTTGCAAAGTTTTTGCTTGTCTTTCTGTCTTGGCTTATTATTTATCTATCTATCTATCTATCTATCTATCTATCTATCTATCTATCTATCTATTTGCATTATCTCCCATCAGGTGTTTGCCAAACTACTGTGAACATGGAGGACGCTGCACTCAATCCTGGACTACCTTTTACTGCAACTGCAGTGACACTGGTTACACAGGAGCCACCTGTCATGACTGTGAGTATACATACTATGCGCCCACAGTGTGTGGGCACAACTCCAGGAAATCAGTGTGGGGCCCTGACTATTCAACATGGTGTGGGCACTGTTTATTCATTTAGCATGAATTATCCAATAGAATGTAATATCTCAAATGCTGAAGGAGGCAGGGAAAACACATGTACATAAGATATACCTTTTTGGAGTGTATGGGAATAGGGCAGAAAAAATGATGTTGGATATATGCTAAAGTGAAAGAGAGAATGGTTCTGTAAGTACATTGGGAGCTGTGGAACAAATGGCATTGTCTTGAGGGCTTCAGTTGTACTGTAACAACAAATAACTAATATATCACTGGTCCAAGAGACAAGTGATGTGATGTCTCTCTTAGTTACTTTCTTGTTGCTATGATAAAAAAAAAATGAAAAAACACTCTGAGCAAAGCAACTTAAGGAGAAAAGTTGGCTTGGGTTTATACTTCCATAATGGTACAGTCCACCATAAAAGAGGAAGACATGGCAACTGGTGCAGAAGACATGATAAATAAGAACAGAAATCCTGACAGATTCCTTGTGTCCACACTCAGGAAAACAGAGAATAAACAGAAAATGGCATAAAGCTGTACAGTTTCAAGTCCTGTCCCCCAGTGACCCATTTCCTCCAGTAAGGTTCCACTTCCTAAAAGTCCTGCAACCTTCTGAAATGGCACCAAAATCCAGGGAACAAGTGTTCAAACATGAACTTATAAGAGACACTTCACATTCAATCTACAATATGGCTATACCCCAATACCCCAGAGTCTCTCATACACTAGCAGACCTTCTTCCCCAATTGCCCTCATTATGGTACAGGTGTCTTCATCTGAATGTTGCTATGATTAAGGAAGGAAACATATGAAAGAAAGGCTGCGTTTTTTTTTTTTTTTTAAGGCTTCTATTAAAAAATGGTTGAGTATTGCTTCTTCTCACATTCCATTGGCCCAATACTGCCCTAGTGTCACCTCCAGTGGGAGGCAAAGAGCATTCAGATCATGAGAGATGAGATTTCAAAACCAGAATATTGGCCATAAATATTAATGACTACTTGTCAATGCTGGGCATTTGGGAAGCTTCAGATTGAAGGCCTTGGATAATCTTGTCCAAGTTATACAAGGAGAACAGAAAGAAAAAGTATTCTTAGAATAATGGAACAAGTGGATCCATGAGGTATAATGATATCCTCTGGAGAATCAGTCAAGAACCCCAGGAGCTAGAGTAGAACACGGACGATTAAAAAGAGTGATGAGATGGGGAAAGGGGTCTGGGATAGGACATGTGTAAAGGAGACATATCCATTTTCTTGCAGTTGGCATAATTCCAACCTTGTTCAAGACTGAAAATAATTTTATCGTATGTTTGAACTACATTTTCTTTATCTATTACTCTGTTGGCAGACCTCTAGAAAGGTGCCATGCTATTGTTATTATGAAAGGTTTTTTAAAAAATAGTAATGTGCAAGTGTTTATGTGATACCGACTTGTGATTCTTTGTGTAAATACCCAGGAGTTGTGTGCCTGAGTTATTGGGTAGGATTAATATTCCATTTTCAAGCCGTTCTTTCTCATTTGTGGATCTTAGATTGTCTTAGGTGCATCCAGTCATACATACAGGTGACATGACAGTAGAAAGGAACTGTTTGGGAAGGGGGTGATCTAATGATGGGAGGCATGAGAAGAGAAATGACATTTGGAAAAGAATCATCGAAGATACATGACATGGTCCACAAGATGTGGTTTCTTTTTGTGGTTTGTCTGCGGGTGTGTGTGTATGTGTGAGCGTATGTACTCATTTGTATTGGTTTGTGTGGAGGCCAGAGACTACTTCAGTTGTCAGTTTCCTCTCTCCTTAGTTTGCTCTGAGCTGAGGCCTCTCACCTAACCTGGAGTTCACTGTTTTTGCTACGCTGGCTGATTGGCAAGGATCCTAGGATCTGCCTGTGTACACCTAGCTATGGCATTTCAGGCACACAGCGCTCTTGCTTAGCTTTTCTGTGAGTACTCAGGACCGTACTCAGTCTCTCATGCTTGTGCATTACAAGCACTTTCAACTGAGCCATCTTCCCACTAGCATGAGTTGTATTTTTACATTAATACTCCTAAAAAATGACACTGTGTCAATGGGCATGGGTCATTTGAAAGATTTTACTCCATACCTCCAATTCTCCAAAAGCCTTAAGACAGTCTATGTCACAGTTCTTTTCTGTAGCTTTAGTTTCCTTTTCTGCCAGAATCACTTAATGGATAAAATTACTTACCATGCCTTTTGGCTAAACACTTGAATATTGAAATGCAGATTACCATTTGCATATCTGGGACTTGGAGAGTCCCAGATAAGTAGATTTTTTCTTTTTCTTTTTCTTTTTCTTTTTCTTTTTCTTTTTCTTTTTCTTTTTCTTTTTCTCTTTCTTTCTTTCTTTCTTTCTTTCTTTCTTTCTTTCTTTCTTTCTTTTTCAGATCTCTGGTACAACAGTAGAATGATTGTTCTCATAAAGCTGTCCTTTTTCGTTCACCATGTGCACTTTGAAGCATATCTGGTTTCAATAGCCACGTTTATTGATTTTTCCACATTGAGCTGGCTTGCTAAGTGACAGTACAGTTGTATACCAGCCTCTGTCTGCCTCCTGTGGAGTGGCTGTCCTTGATCTTCTTCACATCTGTCCAGTGACAGTCACACGTGCACATTCAGGATCTCTCCACCATGTCTCAAGCTCCTCTGATCTCTTCACAGTGTAGCTTGCTGACATCCTAACAAAAGTCTTTCAGGTAGTTTTTCAGCTTTACAAAAGGATGTCAGCTTTTTCTCTCAAGTCTGATGGAGTCCTGTTTGCTTTTGGCAGTCAATAAGTAGTTATTGATTGTGACTCCCAGACTTCACAGTCATCACAGAGAAGAGGGGCTTAGCTACTTCCTCTATAAGGAAACAGTCTTCTTCATCATATTTGGATGGTTGCATATAGATCTGACAAATAGATCTATTTCAATATATGTTTTTTTTTAAATCTTTATCTCAGGTTTAACACATTGATATTATTATATAGGTTTCTTATTAAGATTGCCATTTTTTGCCCTCATTTCCAATAGATGGTTCCCAACTTCAAGTAGATAAGGAGGAAAAGAAAGAAGCAGGAGGAACAAAATGAGGAGAGTAGGAACAGAGGAAAGATGAGGCAAAAGGAAAAGAAAGAGAAGGAGAATGGAAGGAGAGGGGAAAGAAGCAGAAAGAAGAAGAGTTCCAAGATAAAGGGAGAAAAGACAAGAAGAAATATGCAGAAGATAATAAATGTATGTTCATATTCCTATCTATCTCTCTCTCTCTCTCTCTCTCTGTGTGTGTGTGTGTGTGTGCGCGTGCATGCACAGGTAGGAAACTCAACATTGTATGATTTCTTGTAATCATATTTTGAGAGAGTTTTTTATCCGTGAACCTTAGGCACACTGATTCACCTTTACCTGCACGCCTGTAAGCTCCAGGGATCCTTAAGTTTCTTCCTCTCCAGTGTTACCTTCATAGACTCACACCCAACACCTGTTTTATACAGAGTACTGGAAATTGAAATTCAGATACTCATGCCTGTACAGCAGCCTCTTTGGTAACTAAATATCCCATCTTCCTATTCCCTCCAGCACTGACCTAATCCACAACACACAACAGATATTTGATCTTTTTAAGATGCAGAAAGAAAGAAGTGAGCTTGGGCTACTGCACATACCATGGTTCTCAGTTACTAGCCCAAGAGCATTGTTTCTGGTTAAGGAAGGATATTTTAGCACAATGAAGGCTTCCAAAGAGACATGAAGGATGAGAAGGAAAAGAGCAAGGAGAGATGAGTCAGGAGGATACTTTTACTCATTAGTAAAGGCTCTTGCTTGGTCAAGCATGATAACCTGAATTTGCCCTCCAGGACCCACATGAGAAAAGAGTTCTCCTCTTTCCTGATTCCCATAAGTTGTTCTCTGACCTCTGACTTACACACACACACACACACACACACACACACACACACACACACACACTAAGTAAATAAATAAATATAGATCATTAATTAATTAGTTTGTTTTTTTTAATATAGGGTTTATCTGTGTACCCCTGGCTATCCTGGAAGTTGCACTGTAGACCAGACCAGCCTCAAATTCACAACAATCCTCCTGCTTCTACCTATGACAGAAGAACAACCACACAAAGGCTGAATAGCTAGCTTGGAGCTTGGTCTTCACACAGTGCACAGAAGTTCCAACACCTGTAGCCTAGCACAAGGAAGTTGTTAATAAGGAAATGCTGGAAGTGTGGGCAGAGTGAGCAGTGGCTCTCCTGATTAGAAACATCCAGCTGTGAAGGGCAACTAGAGTAAAACCATAGGTTATTTTTACTTTAATGCTGGGAAGAGACTTGCTGGTATCTGTTTTGTTGTATTTTGTTCTTTTATGAGTCTCTTTTGGAAAGTACAGCTCTGATGATATTGTTGAGCTTGTCTTGAAGTTGGAGATTCTGTAAGCCTGAGATGCTGGATGTTCTTTGCAATTGTACAAGCAGGACAACTAGAGTGTGACCATAGGTTGTTTATCTTTAATGTTGGGAACAGACTTACTGATATTTGTTTGATTGTTGCTTGTTTCATTATCAGTCTTATTTAGAAAGTATGGTATTGTTGAGCTTGTCTTGATGTTGGAGTTTGAGTGAGCCTAAGATGCTGGATATTATTTGCAAGTGTACAAGCAGCAAGTTGTAGGATTCAGAGCATGTTAGGAAGAAAAGATTCTATGTGATTCATGACTCTAAAGCTGGATCTCACCCAGCTGGGGAAAAATTGCAAATAACACATGGGAGGGTCAGTCTCCTGTTCCTCAACTTGGAAGTGTTCTTTGATGAAGATGGTATTACTACATTTTTAGGTTTGGATTGATATGAGACCATATATCAAATGTGGGTCACCCAAGTCACAAGATATGTGTCACAGATCAAACTGTGTGAATTTTACATGAT